TTTTGGCGACAAAGTATTTGTCATTAAATATTAAGTCTTTTGCAACAAATAATATTTTTGTTGACAAAAGATTCACAATTTGAGACAAAAAAAAAGATTTGTTGCAAAAAATTAACTTTTTGCAACAAAAACTTTTGTCTCTAAAAATGTATTTTTTGGCAACAAAATATTTGTCACTAAATGTCAAGTCTTTTGGAATAAATAATATTTTTGTTAACAAAAGATTCACAATTTGAGACAAAAAACAGAGATTTGTTGCAAAAAATTAACTTTTTGCAACAAAAACTTTTGTGTCTAAAAATGTATTTTTTGGCAACAAACTATTTGTCACTAAATGTCAAATCTTTTGGAACAAATAATATTTTTGTTGACAAAAGATTCACAATTTGAGACAAAATAAATATTTGTCTCAAAAAATTTAACAATTGGCAACAAAATCTAGAATTTGTCTCCTAAAATAGTGCCTTTGGCAACCAACTCGTAATTTGTTGCAAAACATTACACATTAGGCGACAAATTTACATGTTTGTTGCAAAAAAATATACATTAGGCAACAAAATTTGAATTTGTCACAAATTGCAACCTTTTGCAACAAATTTAATTTTCTTGCTAAAAAATTTGTCCCTAATACCGGTATTTGTTGTAGTGTATGGGCTGGTTTCTGACATAGTAGATGTGTGTAGGAGCTGTGAACGGGAATTGTGGTTGATGTCTGAGTTTAATTTAGGTCTTCAGAAGGCTTGTTAATACATATTCAACCAATTAATATTATTGTTTGGACAGTATACAATTTCTAAGAAAACTGGTAGACTGTTTTGGAGACTTAGGATTTAAACTACACCACTTTAGGTGTAGCAGATTTATTTGGGAATGGAGTTAGGCTATGATCATGGTTCTGTAATGGACTATAAGCATGTAGGAGTATAAAATGAACTACATGCTTATAATGGATGAAAGATGTATACTTACGTTAACTGTTTTATTCACTCCGGAACACCTATGTAGTATTATAGGATGAGTATGTAAATTTGTAAAACAAATCTATCATGCTTACTTGGATTTAATTAAGGGTTATATACATGGTCTGTATTATCCATCGTGGAACTGTGTGGAGGAGTGTTGAATAGACTTGTTAAATAACAAAGTTTTAATATGTTTAATGTGAAGCAATTGATGTTTACAATTGAGTGATTTACTGTCGATTGTTGGATATTCTATATAATTGATAATGATTTTTATTACTCGCATTGTCAACTGTGGATGTTGGATTATTGTTGGATATACTATATAGTTGATAATTACATTTATTACCTGTGTTGTCAACTGTGAACGTTGGATTACATGCACCGATATGGGACAGTGGCATGCTTAGGTTTGGATTAGTTTCAAAATACTAAATCCTACCTATATGGAATAAAGGAATGGATATCAAAATAAATCCTACTTATAATTGAGTCAAAGAAGCTGCATATGCTGAATGACTACTCGGATTACTCGTAAGTTATGTTAAGTCAAAGAAGCTGCACAAGTTGAATGACTAACTGGACTTTTTATGGTTAGAACGGACTTTAAGTATATATTATGGTACTGCGATCTGAGCTTGAGTCTCAGAGTCGTCGGTTAGGGAGCGTATATGCAATAGGATGCGTAGCTAGATATGTGAGGTTGAGATATACCCTGTTAGGTCTAGGTATTCATGCCCACCTTTGGGTGCATTTTCGCTTATTGCCTTCTATTCAGGTTAAGACTCCATCCGTAGTCCAGTTAGAGTCCTGTAGTGTGGATATAATTATGTATCAGACTATTAGCTATTGTTGAATTGCTTAGGATGTATAAGCGTATCGAGTTTCTGCTTGGATTGTAGTAGGTTATAACTTGTTCGTAGGCCTGACCCACTTCTATTTTCCAGGTACTCGTCAGTTCCAGACTTAAACCTGATCGTGCTGAGCAGAGATTACTACTCACTCTTCCGACGACGTAGGACTCTCTCCATAGTTTATTTTTGGATGTTCCTTTCAGTTATCGTTATTTTCAGTTTGGATTATTATTAGGGGTCCACTAGAGATGGATTCTCGAGTTGTTTAATCTATTGGAGGTTTTTTTGGATTATTGGGATTTAAGTTTTTATTTTAAAGAGTTTTACTTTAGTTTCTTCCAGCTTGTATTATTTATTCTTAATTCATTTTGTCATCTGTGTTCGTTTTTAAATATTAATTGTTTGATATTCCCTCGGGTTTGGGCCTAGGCCTGATCAACCCGTGTCTCAGATCCGAAGGGTATCACAATTCACGTATATTATTTTAATTAAGTCTTAAAGGCTAATCAATTAAAAATTAGCCCATGTACTTGCCCAGTTTAGTGGTGCTGTACTAAGTTACGCAGGAGTATGAGAGTGACAGAATTAAGTCATAATTATAGTGAAAATTTGAACAAGAATACGCACGAAGCGTGAGAGTGGGAACGCGTTCAGAACGTAAAAGCGACACGTGTTGAGAAGGATTATATGACTTAGGTGGTGCAATCTATACCCTTTACCAACACTACCAATAATTAAAGAAATAGTCATTTGTTACTTGTCTCACATCGAATCCGAATAAGAATTCAAATTTGTATAAATGGGTGGTTATCCTCTCGTCCTCCCACGTCTATTCCTTCTGTTTTGAGGAGCTTTAATGGCCTGTGGGGTGGGATTGTTTTGTTTTGGGTGACGCCCTTTTGAGTTTTGTTTTACCTCTAGGCGTGTTGGGCTAAGGCCCCTCATTTTGTATAATTTTTTTTTTATTAAACATTAACTTATCAAAAAAAAAAAAAAAAAGTTAATATCTTTGATCCGGTGTCACGCCAAGCGTTCGGTACGAAATTATCGAAGTTTTCTTCCTACTAGAATGTTATAAGTGGGACTTATCTCTCATCAAATCAGTATGAAAACTGAAATGTGTATAAAAAATTAAATATTTATTATTCAATATTATTGAATAACTTAAATTTTTAAATAAATAAACAAACAATCACTCATTACATCACTTCTCCTCAACTTTTATTAATTTTTATAGTGTCAGAATTAAAACTGTCGTCTATTTTGAAAAGAATAATGATATACAAGTAGAATCAAGTTGTGTGTGAATATATATATATATAGCACGATTCTTTTGAAAACTGACTTCCAAAATAATTGGTTAATTGATAGATGAAGACATGACACCGATACAGTAAGGTTCTTTCAAGAAAAGCTTGAAAAAGCAGGCATAATGCCATCAAGTTGTCATAGCACCTTTGGGCATATGGTAGACATTGATGTTGATGTGTTTCTTACATACGTGGCAGCATGCCTCCATATATTTTCCTTGCTTTATAACACAACTTTTCAGTTTCCCCTTTATTATTACCACACAGTTTTTCACAAAAAAAACTTTTTACTTTTAAGTTGGGAGTTAAATGATAGCAAATTCAATCACTTTTAAAGTCTGTTTGGCAAATTTTTTTTTTTTGTTTAATAACTTTTGTTGTTAGTTTGTTGTCTAAAAGAATCCCAAATCTATGCGTATATTTTTTTACTAAATATTTTGTTTCTCAATCTTACAATATTTTTTTATTAAATAAAGATTTTACGAATTCGGTTTCCAAATATGCCGTTAGAGATGTGGGAGGGTGTGATGTAAGCGAATTTTATACAGCATGAGGGTTAAGCGGCAAGTGCCAATTCATGCATTCCACAGTGCAAAGTATACGTGGACCAAGTATAGTTGAGTACTACCCATTGGAATGGACCTAAGATTTGAAACGGTTTTTAACTAACATGCTCACACTGCTAAGCAAAACATGTTGTCTACCCAACAATGAAATATGCTGGAGTTTGTCGACCCTCCACACTCAATAAACCAAGTGGAACTTTGCTACCCAACAAATGCTATATGCGGCCCCATTTCCTCATGCCCAAACTAACCATGCATGCCACGTCACGACCACAAGCACAAGCTCAAGCTTATGGCATGCCAATATTTCTCTGTATATCGGAAACGTCATTTGCAACAAAATTTTATATTCTATCTTATATGTAGGGGCATGTATTTGACCAAAATAATATGTTGTTGATTTTTTTTATTTTTTATTTTTTATTTATACGAAACAGAGAGTTGGGGTCACCCAATTTTCCCCGTATTGCCCTCTGCACGCCCCGACCCAGAGATTTTATGTGCTTGTGGTAGATTATGTAATATTCTAATCGTTCCAAATATCACTATATTCAACAAAGGTAATTATATTTAGAGAAAAATCTATAGATTTTGTTACACAAATAAATAGAATTCAAGCTTTTAAAAATAACAAAATTATCTCAATCACGTGCTAATTATCAAGTCAGATCGGTTATGTAGTCATGAAATAGAGTTTACAATTATATCATTTTTTTATTTTTTATTTTTTTATATGCATTGATAACAGGTACCCATCTTTAATTTCAAATATAAACATAGTCCTAAAATTTGACACTCTTGTATGTTAATGTCATGATCAATATTTACTTAAAACTCAATAATGTCTTTAGAAATCTTAAAAAAACTATTTTGTTCATAAAAAAAATAAATATTTTACATTACAAAACAATAAAAATATAATGTGTATAATAGTCATTTAACAAAAGCAAGCTCAGTGTTATATTTAAAACCATAAATTATTTAGGAAATTTAAGTGTAGCTATCCCATGTATATTGTTGCTTTAAAATTAAAGTGATTCATCAGGGTGTCTCCGAGGCTCCGACTCTCCAACACAAGGGTAGAAAAATTGGGCCAGGTCTGAGCCTTATAGAAAAATTGAATCATAAATCCAATAAAGCCACTCTGTTGTGGGCCTAAACCCAAAAACCAGACTGGCCCATTAAGTCATCCAATCCAACTGAATCTTCTTCCTCCAATTTTTTTTACCAGATGATGGAAGAAGAATCGTATAGTTACAGACTTACAGTGAAGACGGAGCTTAGAAAAAGGCACTTCAATGAAACAAAAAAGAAAAAAAGAAAGCAAAATACATTAGGATATATATATGTGTGTGTTTGTATATATATATACAGAGACATTGAAAGTAACACCCAACGAAAGGCTTCCCTAAGCCATCTTCTTCCAAAGAGAACGAACTCAACCCTGTTCCTCTACCACCGAACACCCCCACCTCCCCGCTCCCCCACCACTCTCTCTCCTAGGGTTTTATTTCTCTCTCTATATATACACATATATAATATATATAATATAATTTCAACTTCTTTTTGTTGGAGGGTTTTTTGCTGGGGGTTAAGAATAGGATTAGGGTTTTCGAGAGATGTGGGATGCTCGGAGGATTGATGAATCTCCTCTCGCTCTGTTGGAAGCCGTGTAGTGGCAGTGACAGCGATAGAGGTGGTAGCGGCATCGACGGTGTCGATTTTGGCAGGGATGGATTGCTTTGGTTTCGCGATATCGGGCGTTGCTCGTGCGGAGAGTACTCGATGGCCGTGGTTCAGGCGAACCAGGTACTCGAAGACCAGAGCCAGATCGAGTCCGACCAGTTCGGGACGTTCGTGGGTGTCTACGATGGCCACGGAGGTCCCGACGCTGCCAGATATGTGTGCGATCACTTGTTCCGGCATCTCCAAGGTTCATCTTTTTTATTCAGTTCTTGTGATTTTGATGTTTTCTAACTATTTTTGTTTGTGAAATTGTAATCAAATGCTCTGATCTTTGTACATTGCTTATTTGATTTACCCTCATTGAGAACTGTCAATGATCTCTAATCAAAATTGGCCCTTGTCTGGGTTTTTTTTAAGGTTTTGATTCGATTGAACCTCTAATTAGCTTAACTAACAAAATTATTACATACAGTGACAGATAGATTTGCAGTATTCTAAATGGAATGTGTCTTTGATTGAATATTTATTTTTGTTTATATCACAATTGCCCTCATACATATGTGGAATCTAACTTTATCCCACATATTTTGCTCCAGTCCCATAGATTGGGCACTGTGACCTTTAATTTTAGTTTGGCGTTAACACCAAAATGAAAACTGTCTTATGTTGGCGTTCTCAGATTTCATGTTTATGCAGCAATATCAGCTGAGGATGGTGGTGTTGTCACAGCTGAGACAATCGAAAGGGCTTTTCTCGAAACGGAGCGAGGGTTTACTGCACTTGTGGCAGAGTTATGGAATACTCGACCCCATATAGCAACTGTTGGGGCATGCTGTCTAGTCGGAGTGATATGCCAACAGACTCTCTTTGTTGCAAACCTTGGTGATTCCCGTGTCGTTTTAGGGAAGAAAGTTGGCAATACTGGGGTTATTGCTGCGATACAACTATCAACGGAGCACAATGCTAACCTTGAGGCTGTCAGGCAAGAACTTAAAGAATTACACCCAAATGACCCTCAAATTGTTGTCCTCAAGCATGGAGTTTGGAGAGTGAAAGGCATTATTCAGGTTATTCCTAGAACTATTTTTTCAATATTAGAATGTATTTGTGTTGAACCTTGTTTTATTCTGTAATTTCTGAAAGTTGTTTTCAGGTTTTTCTGCAGTCGAAGAGTATTCTTTGCTATTAGTATATAGCCAGTATTGAACTTAGTTTTTAATTGTGTTGACAGTCCCATGAACTACAGATAACAATATATATCAGAATTTCACGTTTAGAATCACTAAACTAAACATGTGAAGAGACAAAGTCACTACTGATCTGAGAATAGTGAGGACCTATGAAGATGGTACAATGACGCTGGATCTCACTGTCATTGGAGAGTTTGATGGACCATGTGATGATTGGCTTTAATAGGATATGTTTAACCTTAATCATATCATACATATCTTGAAACATACCTTTCAAGCCCCTTAATTAATCTGACTGATATAACACAAATGCCACACAGGACATCAATAACCTTGGATGAATTTCCCTGTACATCTGAACCTCGAAAATTTTGAAAGTTACCGGAGCATGCAGTACAATATGCTAAACTGAAACTTTATTCTCCTTTCTACCAATAAAGTTGTTTTTATCTTCTTTCAGACAGTAAAGTCGGATAAGATTTTTTGACCATTTGGTTAGCAAGGTTTAGAGGCTCCTGAATGGGCTGTACGTACACAAGTGTTGAAATAAGTGTAATTACATCATTTATTCATTACCTATGGATAAAGGGTTGTAGAGATTTTATTCCGTTCTCGGGTGAGTTGGTCTCCTAAACTTGGTGATTGCACTTTCTGAAGAATGGCAATTGCATGGATTACCATATCTTGCATAATGTCTGTGGTTGAAAGGATAAAGGGTTGTAGAGATTTTATTCCGTTCTCGGGTGAGTTGGTCTCCTAAACTTGGTGATTGCACTTTCTGAAGAATGGCAATTGCATGGATTATCATATCTTGCTTAATGTCTGTGGTTGAAAGGATATTAATAGAAATCTTTATATTGACCTTGGTGTTGATTATTAATTAGATTATTAAGTTTTATTACTTAGTGGGGTAGAAGAATGGACTAGCTTAGAGTGACTCACCGGTATCATCCTCATCATCTTTACCTTAATTCCACACGTTCCTATACAAATCATCTCTTTTAAAATATTTAACTTTGTAAAAGAATTCCTAATAATTTAATCCGACATTAATTTCGGTCTCATTCTCTTTTTCCTACCTTCTGTGCAAATAAGGCTTCCTCTTTTTACCGGTGCTTCTATAGGTTTTCTTTGTACATGTCCATACCACGCAATACTATTTTCTCTTTGTTTATCACTAATAGGCATCAATCTCAATTTCTCTTTCACATTTTGTTTAATAACTCTTTCTTTTCTAGTCACTCCAATCATCCATCTTAACATCCTCATTTCCACCACATGAATTCGTTGTTTTTTTTTTTTTTTTTTTGTTTTTTCAAGGCACCACACTTTGCACCATATAAAATACTTGGCCTAAAAACTATTATATTAAAATTTTATTTTTATTTTATTCTTTTATCGTATAAAACACAGTAGCTTATCTACATTTTTGTCCACCATGCTCCAATTCTACTTATATACCCATCTACCTCGTTACTTACTGTTTTTGTGTATTTTTGATCCACTCCTAAGTGCCGAAAATGGTTACTTTGGCTAATTCATTGGTTTTGAAATGTGATCATTACATCATCAATATGTAACTCTTTACTAAATTGACATTCCATATGTTCCGTTTTTGTCCTACTATTTTTTTTTGAACCTTTCGGTTCTAGCGCTCTTCAGAGGTGCCTAATAGTGCTATGTCATCTAACAACATACACCGTGGAATGTCCTCTGATGCAGTCTTTTGTAATATCATCTAAAAAATTTATGAATATATATACTTATCAAAAAAAAAAAAAATTTATGAATATTTATGGTGCACATAGTGCTGACCCTTGATACAGTCCACATTTATAGGAAAATGACTAATCTCACCATAGTAGTGCGTACTTTAGTTTCTGTACTCACATGCATATTCTGAATAATCTTGCGAATCTCTATAAAAATTTGTTTTCTTTGTAAAGCCTGCCAAATTACATCTCTGGTACCCTATTATAAGCTTCTTCTAAATTTATTAAAATCACATGTAGATCTTTTTGCTTACACTCTTCAACTAATTGTCTTCGTAAGTATATGGCCTCCATTGTGGACGTGGCATAAATCCAAATTGGTTATCGAACACCATGGATTCTTTCCTTAATCTTAAGGTGACTATATTTTTTAATTTTTAAGATTGCATATCACTCTTTTGAGCAAGGCAAAAAGCCTATATAAGTTGCTTATTCTCACAAAAGAGAGAGAGAGAGGTACTAATCTGGGTTTTCGGCCTATCTCCCCTCTGATTGTTAAATATGAACCTAAAACTCATTTTACCGTGTTTCATAGCAAGTGATATTCCATGAATTCAGTCTTCTTTCCTTGCCACAATGTTCCTTGAAATACATAATGCATTTGAATTATGAAAGAAACCTGAGTAGCTGAATCTTATGCTCTACATTGAACTCAAATATGCTGAATATGCAACTTGACTTCTTCCGTAATTTCTTGGTTCTTTTAGTACATGTTCCATTTTACAAGCTAGTATAGTTCCATGTTGACTAGTATGTTATTTTTTTCATCAACTTCACACGATTGTATTTGATGCAGGTATCTAGATCTATAGGCGACGTCTATATGAAACATGCACAGTATAACAGAGAACCAATTAATGGGAAATTCAGACTTTCTGAACCAATGGACATGCCTATCATGAGTGCAACTCCATCTATTATTTCACATCCTATCCATCCAAATGATTCTTTCCTTATATTTGCATCTGATGGTTTATGGGAACATTTGAGTAATGAAAAAGCTGTGGAAATTGTCCACAGTCATCCACATTCAGTAAGATTTGTCCTTTCATCTCTTTTTAGAATTACTATTTTCTGTGCTGAAATCACTTCCACTTTTATAAGCTTGTCTTTGTGTAGGCATTAAATGAACTTGGAAGTTCAAGTTTGGTTTTTGTGTTTTTTTGAGTTATTTGGCACTAGATCTGTGGTCATGGATTTGATCGAATATTTAAATGTTGATTTAACAATGACAGAAAATCTTAGGGCAATTTTTTAAAATTTTATTTATTTATTTCTTTTTAAAAAAACAACAAGAGTTAAATTCTTTGTCAAGGAGGAAGGAGCTTGATATTCAAGTGTGTTTATTATTCTTTGTCATGGACTTTTAGCAAATTTTATGACTCGGTTATGTTCATTTCTAGGAATAAGCTTTGGAGGTTTTTCTTTTTGACAAGTTTAACTATGTACTTTTCCTTTAAAGTTACATATAAATTGTTTCTGTTAATTTCTTACATATATGTTACTGCCATAAAGAAATTACGAATGATCCTAAACATGTGGGTCAATGCTTTATTCTCCACTACGAGCTAATAGCACAAGGGAAACAGAATGAGGAAATACATGCTATAGGCGGAGAAAAAAGGCGCAAGACTCGAATAAGACAGAAATCATTAGAAATTGTTGAAGGCATTATGGAAGAACGATGGATATTATTATATTCAAACCATTAGTTTGAAATAATTGCACAAGCAAAGGCAAGAGATGATGCCTTGTAACGTCTGCCCTCTTCCTTTTTGATCTACAATTTTTATCATTATATAATTGATCTGACAAACAGGCATGTGTTTTTCGAGTACCTCCAGTGGCATATTAACAGATCTTGCATGATTCTCTCATAGATTCTCTATTATTTGTTTTTCTTTTATTGCCTCTTTTTAGGATAAACAAAACCAGAGTTTTTCTTGACCTTGCAGCTTATCCCATTGTGGCTTATTTTGATAAAAATGGGCTTTGAACTTCTGTGACCCTTAAATTAGTTTTCTGCCCATAATATCTTGCTACTTTTTACATTCTCTAGTGTTGAATTTCAGTTATGATCCCCCTTCTCCTCTTAATTCTTGTGTCAGAAATAAATAGGGATATATTTCACTCATTTACTTGTTTTCATGTTCATTTTGATATTTTATTGACTTGTTTTAGTGATAATGCACCTCTTTACATCTTCTGTGCTCACTAGCTTTCTGTCAATGCAGGGAAGTGCCAAGAGGCTAGTCAAGGCTGCCCTTCAAGAAGCAGCAAGGAAACGGGAGATGAGGTATTCAGATCTTCGAAAGATTGACAAGAAGGTCCGACGCCATTTTCATGATGATATAACTGTTATTGTTTTGTTCTTAAACCACGACTTGATATCCAGAGGCACGGTGCAAGACCCTCCAATCTCAATCCGAAGCGCCCTAGAGCACGGATAAATCATGAACCCAAGAATATTTCTGCGTCCTCTGATTTTGGTCAATGCCCAGATAAGAGTACTACCTGCGAGACGTTTCACAATGCACGGCTAGTGAGCAGCAGTAGCAAACCAGTTGTGCTGCTCTAATACTTGATACCGAGTTCATTTGTTTGAAGAGGCATAAAATTGTAAAATTTTCTTTTTTCCTGAGCATAATTTGTTAAACGTTGTTGGAAGATAGCTAAGAAACTATGAGCTCTTTGTAACTCTTATATAATGTATTCAAAAGCATGTTCTAATTTTTGCCTTCCATTTTGTGGAGTCAGCCAGATTAACACTCTTTCGTTCTATATTTAGCTTCAAGAAATATAGATTATTTTGCCATGGAGATTTTTAACTGTATGCAGCCCCATCACAGGATGAAAACTCGTCGGGGAGGTGGTGCAGAAGCTGATATGTCTGCCGCTCCCAGCTTATGTATCCTTCACAGATGAGCACAATCGACCCATGAATAAGCCTGCACCACCTGCCTCCATGTTTCGTGGGAACTTCCATCAAGATTCAAGACCTTGCTGCGGTTCCTTTTTGTTAATTATGAATTGATTCTTGATAAAAACTGCTAGCAGTTACTGATGCCATTGCTAATGTCCCTTCACCATTTTGCAGAGCCAAATTTCAGCAAGTGAATTACTAGTACAATCAGACTACATTGGTAATTTCTTGCCCAAAATAAATAAATAAATAAAAAATAAATTTCATTTGTTTGTACCCGGAGTCTTTTTTGGCCTAGGTGTTATAACTTTCAGTAGAGAGAATTCAAAGATATTAAAATTGTTAATAGGCTCAAAAACATATCACAAAGCTAAGGTGGAGGGTTTATCTTTTAGTAGTAGAAAGAGTAATGTTCAAAAATCAAAAGATACAAGGCTAAAAAAACAAAAACACCGCAAAAATGTAATATAATGTAAACTTCCGGAGAATAAAAATGTAAATACAGTATAATGCAGAAATTAGAATGATTTTTTTTATACATATAATTGTTCATAATACAGGGGCATTTTTGGGATTCGGTAACCAAATTCAGTCAAGCCGAAGCACCACTAAACAACGCTTCTCAGTTTCAGCCGAAGGGGACCCAAGTACAAGCTCTCAAACACCTACAAATCTCAGCAGGCATGGCGAATTCTTGCTACGAAAACGCTTATATGTAAACATATATTTATATACACACATATACACATAGATAGAGAGAGAGAGATTTTACTAAATCGGAGAGCCATGAAAGCAAGTCCAACCCTAGTTTTTCTCTTAATAATCGGTACACTGTGTGTACTGCAATCAGACTCGGCACCTCAAGCCTTTCGGAGAGATCCGGGACACCCTCAGTGGCACCATGGCGCTTTTCAAGACGTCAAAGATAGCGTCCGATCAGATGTTCGTCATATGCTACATTCTCGCGCCGAGGTATATTTATCGCTAATTGTTTGAATTATATCAACTCTTCATTTTGTTATGCGAGCTCAAACAATTACTCATTCGATTCAGTCCACAATTTTTTTATATTTTGGTTGTCTTTAAATCGTAACAACTGGTTCTTACAGTAGAATTGTGTCTCAGACCATGAACAAGTTTCTTCAATTTCGTATTACTTTTTATTATTTGATGGTAGATTTGATCATTCTATTTTTATGGCAAATCACATCTGAAAGAATTTACATTTCTGTGTTTTCCGATTTGGACATTGGGCCCTTATACTGGTATTGTTCAATTATGTTCAACTCGTCTCGGTGATCATTAGGGTCCAAATGCTTATTTATTCTAGTATTTATTTTATTGTCTACAATCCTATGAGTTGCTGGCCATGTGATTAGAAATTACTGAGTTTTTATCAAATTTATAGGGTTTGGATGCCTTACGTTAGTGTTCATGGTCTATCAGACTGCTTTGTGAAATTTGGAGTTGATGGTTGACACAGTTTTATAACCTAGAAGGATCTGTATAACGAAGATTATGCCTGGAAATAGAATTAAGGTACACGAGATAATTTGAATCAGGGAAGGAAAATTTGAAAACACATTATGTCTACGAGGCAGCTATGCCATGCTGTTGTTACAGACCACTGTTTCATCTTTCCAAATAGAAGACATCGTTTCATGTTTAACTGAAACTAAATCTACCTTTGTAATTAAGATGCAGTAATCCCCTCCTGTACAGGCTTTAAATTCCTCCATTCAGTTATTGAATTTGTCTAACTCAGATTTCTTCTTTATTTCATAACACTACTCTACACTCTTTATTCCATGTATGAATTATCACTTTTACTTGCAAAAAAATGAAAAGGAAATAAAATGAAATTTATAAAGTACACTTTTACTGCTATCTTAATTGACGAGTTTTGTTCAAGCATCTTATTGTGTGTATTAGTGTCATGCAGGTTCCATTCCAAGTCCCTCTTGAAGTTAATATAGTCCTCATCGGTTTAAATGGTGATGGAGGCTACAGGTACACTATGGATTCACACAAGTTGGAAGAGTTTCTGAGAGTTGGCTTCCCATCTCACAGGCCCTCATGCCTGGAGACAGGAGAACCCCTTGATATTGAGCATCACATTGTCTACAATGCTTTTCCTGTAAGCCTCTTCTGAGTATTGTTTTCAAGAATTTCAGTTACCATGCTGGATGCAGCTGCCATTTTCAAACTGCTGTCTTTGAGTTTTTCGCACTGACTTCACAATCTTGTATATTTGAGAACAGTAATTTCATGTATTAGGAGTGTTAGGGTTATAACATGATAAACTGTGCAGCTTAAAAAACTATGTCACCACTGTTGTGGTAGATCCTCACAGAACTTGATATATACTTTTTGGTAATCGATACATTTCCTAAAAACTTTAGCTTTAGAGACAAGAAGTTATTTCATGGTATTAGAGATTTGATTCTCTAATAGGTTTTGGGTTCTAGACTTGCATGCCTATTTGTTCAAGTTTGTTCCCACATTCTAGTTGTTAATTTGCACTCCATGTTGAATGTATGTCTACCTCCACAATGTGAAGGGGGTGTCGCATTTGAAGTAGGATGTGAATGGTCAATGCACATTGTTTGGCCCATTCTGAAAGTGTTTGTCTTGCTGTAATATTTTGTTACAACCATGAAATGGTGCCTTTCAGATTTGGATTTAGATCACACTATTAGAAACAAGTTGGACAGCTGTTGCAGGTTTTTATTTTTAATGCCTGGCTGTCCTTAACCTATTAGTCTCAGACTAATCCTGCAAATTGTGTCTGTCGGGTAAGTCTGGGAGGAGTTGAACCTGAGGCATCCCATTCTTGAGCTGTTTCCTTGGCCAGCTCGCCCACCTGTGCAGGTTGACCATCTGCAGTTTAATCAGCTGACTGGAAACTGGTAATATAGTTAGTACGTCAAATTTCCTGTCACCATCATTTGATTTCACTGAAACATCATAAATTACTGCTAGTCCCTTATCCAAGGAATTGGTAGCTGGTGTTTGGGCACATTTATCGACTATCAATGTAAGCCAAATAGATTGCTTGTTTGAATTGCATATGCTTGTAATGGAGGTTAGAGTATCAATCTCATTGCCTGCAAATTTGAAGAAACTGAAGACTAAAAGAGGCTTGCTACTTTATCTCTTGGATTGGTGCAATATATGACAGGCTGGGCAGGCAGAACTAATTGCAATCGAGAAGGCTCTGAAGGAAGGCATGGTTCCTGCTGGTACTGCTAGAGAGGTGAATGCTATTATTTTATCTCAATTGCAACCGCTAGTCTGGGACAAAGTTCTAATGTATTTTTACATTTTATAGGCTGATTTTGGAAGGGAGGTGCCTTTGTTTGAGGTAGATGCAACTGCTGTAGAGTCCGTTTTTGAGAGACTATATTCCTATATATTTGACATCGAGAATGGGGGACTTTCTGCAGCAGATATGGACAAACCTGTTCCAAGTGCAATATTTATTGTAAATTTTGATAAGGTATTCTCTGCTGGCTCACCACTATGGTTTTGTCTTTATGAAAATCTGTTGATGTTAAGATAGATTCTCATATTTCATCTGGATATGAAGTCACTATATTTTTCCTAAATACCATAGTTGTTAAAGGCTCAAAGGGCACTAAGGCGCCAAAGGCCTTCTGGAGCCTAAGCGCAAGGCGCAGTATAAGGCGCGAGCTTGATCGAAGCAAGGAGCGTGTACATAATATGGCATATTTAAACATATATTATTATTATATATTCATAATCAAGCAGTAATTGCAGTTAATATAAGTAGTAAACCATAAATTTATGAATTTTATCAAACATTTCATAAGGTTAAACAATATGACATATGATGTAGGACTTTTTAATTTAGTATTCATCAAGTAAAAAATAAAATGATATGGATAAATGATTAAAAAATACAAGGCACGCCTTTTTTTAGCCTGGAGCCTACTAAAAAGCATGAGCCCGTGGGCTTTATGTGAGCCTGATTGAAGGGGCCTGGCCTGTAGTAGGTTGAGGCGATCTAGCTGAGCCTTGACGAGCCTGGGGCTTTTTTGGAGCCTAGGCGCGCCTTTAACAACTATGCTAAATACTGCTTATATGTTTTCTAGGCCATGACTTAGCGGATTCTCTTGTGCCTATAGCATCTTGATTTAAATTTTTTTTTTTTCCTTGGCTGGTTGCCTACAGGTCAGAATGGATCCCAGGAATAAGGAGATTGATCTAGATAGTTTAATGTATGGCAGACTTATGGAGCTAACTGAGGAAGAGATGAAAAGACAAGAGGGAGATTACATTTATCGTTATCGTTATAATGGAGGTGGAGCATCTCAGGTTTGGCTGGGCTCTGGCAGGTATAATTGATTTATTTTCTGCTTATTGGTATTCGTTTTTTTCCTAGAGAAATAATTTTTGCTAACAATCCTACTTCAATTGCATGGTTGTTTTAAGTTTTTGAGCTGTTGTGTGGGATCTGAACTGGATTAGGAAATGCCATATACTTATTAGATGGATCATTAATAAATGAGATCATTTTACTGTTTATTCTATAATTTTTGGTGAATCAGTTGTTATGCGGTCATAGATCTAGGCGATAGTGATGATTCAAATCTGCAGTTCTCAATCTGTAATAATCTTTTCTTTCTGATGTATATTAAGATGGCCAAGGGTGGATTGTACTGATTTATCATTCATTGTCACAACCTTCTTAGAAATGAACTTTATGTCCATTACCAGACCATTACCCATAAAGGAGGACTATATTTTGAATGACTCAAGGAGACTATATCTGTATTCTTGCTATTTGAACTTGTAGCCATGACCTTATATGGGATCTTTGGTATGGGTTTAGAGCTTCTTTACTCTGGGTAATGGAAAACCCCCCATACTTTTAAACTACAATCATACCCCATATTTTGAAGCCTAAACTAAGGATACCCACTTTGACGTGATCAGTAAGCCTTTGAACTTCTTATATGTTATAGTTAAAAAGTATGTAATAAGAGTTAACTAGTACACATTCACTTATAAACTTGTACGCATTCAAAGTCTCAAAGTGGTACGATGTGGAAGGTTAACCATAATCCTCTTTGAATAAACAAAAATCATGGTGCTTTGGAATGTTAAGTACCTAATACATGTACCTAAATTCATGTAATATAGTTATATCTTAATATTTTTCCTCTTGCTAACTTTTGCCATTTAATTGTGGTTTCCTCTTTAGTTAACCATAAATCTAAAGTTATTAATTTTAAAATAAAAGTAATTGAGCAGTTTCATGAAGCATAAGCCTTAGCAGCCAAGCACGCAAAGGCACAAGTCGAAGGCCCTCGGATATGGAGGCATATGCCCTTTGGGATCTCGTGAGGTGAAAAAGGTGTAAAATACATAAATTCTAGAGGAAAATGCAAGAAACCCCCTTGAACTTTCCCATATTTGCAAATAATCCCCTTGATATATCAATTTGGCAATAACTGCCTATCGTTTGTAAAAACCTGCAAACCCCTGACTTTTACTTTTCATTAAAAAATGGATGAAAAAAGTCATGTGTGCTTCACATGACATATTAATGGTATATTTTGACCAACATGTGATTTTGCATGTTGCCCTGAATTCTAGCATGTGAGGTGTATGTCCTTTAGGCCTCTTTCTCTCTCTCTCTTCCCCGTCCCCCCATATGAATTAGGTGTCGTTTAAGTTCTGAAAATTTTTAGATCTAAAATTTTAGTTCTAAAATTATAAGTCTAATGATAAATCAAATTTTTTTTTTATGCTTTTTGAATTTTTAGTGTTCAAAATGACAAGTATTCCTCACTTAAAATTTTATCCCATTTTAAGTGATATCCCTATTATGATATCGAATGTACATGCATAATTGAATAAGCACTTAAGTTATAAATTAGGTTATCAAACAACACCTAGTACTTTTAATATATTCGTGTTGGTTTAATTGGGTTGATTTTTTATTAGTTTTTTCCTTGGTTTAACTTTAATTGGGACTTGGAAATTTATTTAACTGAAATTTTTTTTGGAAGGTACCTATAAATAAAGTCAACCTACCATATATTAGCAAATAGTTGCGAGTTTCTAATATTCCACCATCTTTTCCTCTTATTTGAAGTTGAAAATATTGGTCCCTAAAAGTTTGAATGGGAGAATAAGCTTCACCCTAATGAAGCCTGGATGAAATTGAGCACAAACTGAGTTGATCAAAGCTCGATAGGTTTCTTCATGTGAGGCAAGTCAACTGAAACCCTCGTTTTGTTTGATGATTGATGAACCAAGCTTGAGATTGTTTGAGCTCAATTCAAGCTCAACTCAAGGTTGAACATCAGTTTTACTAAGCTGAACTTAAACATGAGGTTTAGGTGGCCCATCTCATCTCATTTGTAGCCCCTAACATGTTTACATTTTTTATGCAAATCGTTTTAAATAGTTCTTCATTCTTTTGAAAATGAAGTTTATATTTTGCTTTTTACATACCAAAAATGAAGACAATGATGATGACAACGATGATGATAACAATAATGATAACTTAATATATTTGAAACGAAACCACATATTAACCTTCTTAATCAACATGTATTTCAGTTAGTTGTCCAATTTCCTCGTATATCCTGGAAAAATGAAATTCATTTGTTTGTTAATGCATGAGCACTTAATTTGAGCAGTTGGGATTGTAGCGGCATAGGATGAAGCAAAAAGAAAGAATAATGTAAATAGTGTCAAAAGTAGATTGCTTATCCCTGAAATAGAAGTGATAACATAGATTGGAGTGTCCATACTTTGCTTTCCAATTCAAACCATGCCAAATAAATCTGCTCAAATAGCACAAATACTTGAAAAGGGGAATCCAAAGCATATGATTTTATAATGATTTACTAGGTTCAATTTCTTCCTTTCTTTTTCTTTGGGTCTTGGAAAAAAAGAAGTGAAAAGTAGTATTTGTAATGATATAATGTGCAATTTGTCATGATTCCCACAATCACGTTATATGTGCAACTCTTCACAATATTTGGAACCATGCTTCGACTTGTAAGAAGTATTATACTGCACCATTTTTGATTTAGAATTTACCATCTCATGTCATCTCCTGTCATGAGTTCAGGTTTGTGGTGATCGACCTCTCAGCAGGACCTTGCACATATGGAAAGATTGAAACTGAAGAAGGTAGTGTCAGTTCGAAAACACTTCCCCGGTTGCAAAATGTGATGTTTCCAAGAGGTTCAGGTGCAGCTAGCGGTCATTCTGCCCACGATATTTTTATTGGACAACTTGCTGCTCTGGTTGCAACCACAGTAGAGCATGTTATAGCTCCAGATGTTAGGTATCTTAATGTTACCTATTTATTCAGTGGGAAAAAAAAAAGGCTTATGTTATTACCCTACTGAATCTCCCAGTTTTCTGCAAAATAACCAGTGCTTGGTTCTAGTCTATATTTGGAATTTTAAGCATGGGGTTGACCAATAATTTCTCTACTTTTCTCTTTTACAAAAATACCACAATATGTAGCATATGTTACATCTTAACTTGCTGCTATTTAGATCAGTGGTATGGCCCCTTTTCTTATTTTGGTTTCAGTTTTCTGCGTCCCTACCTTTTGTATCATGTGTGCCATTCAAATATGTATAAATGCATCAATAATTTCTGAAGTTCCGTTTGTGTTCCATAGACTGCTAATAGGAATATCAAGTCATTTGTTTAATATCTCATCCTATTTGTTTAAGTGCAATAAGCTGATAAGTTACTTAGTAACTTCAATATTTATCAAGTGCTACACAAGCACCTAAGTAGGCTCACATGGGTATCTTAGTGCATAACCCTCGAGCTTGAAAAACCCTGTTACCCGGGGACTCATCATTGAAAAATATTTTTCTTGTATCCACTCAGAGTCTCAACACTCATAATAATTCATTTACAATATGGTTTGAAAGTTGACTGTTATTGTGTCATTGGGTACATTGTCGATTGCATAAGATTACTTGTTTTTTTATTTCTGGTGTATTATTTTGACTGTCATTTGTATTGGTAAAAAAAAGGTAGATTGTACTAATACTACTTATAGGGACAAAAGAAGTTCTAATTTTGAATTCGTTTACTGAACTAAGAGATCACAAAAATCAAATTTTAGGTGGACAGCCAAAATTTTATAATTGCCATTTTTCTCAAATACAATATCTCATATTTTTAGAATCCTTTAGAATGGATAACTATTGTGTTGAGAACTAGTGAACAACCCTGCAAGGAAAAACCCCAAAAATGATTCTCCAGGCAGCCCATTGACCTAGCACAGGAGGGCGTGTTATCCAAATACCTGCAACTCATATAACGAAAACGTCTTTAATTCCAGGATGGATCCCTTGGCCTCTGTAAACAACTACTCATGCCCTGAGGAGTTGGGAAGAAGCTCTTTTTTTTTCCTAATAAAAATTACAAATGGTCAGAGATGTGACTTTCTACCCTTCTGTAAAATATATTTTTCTCTCAAAGTGTCATTTGATGCTGATTTATAGCTTGTGTTTGTTATATGTATAAGAGAACCCTATTTATGCTTTTAACATTAAAGTTTTTGCATTGTTAACAAAATATGGGTTGGACCGTTGGAGATTACTTGCTAGAAAGTACCATAGTCAAATTGTTTCTTCTTTTTTATGCTGAACTTATTATATCTCTCTCAGTCCATTTGATTGCTTTGATTTCCATTGAACACCCTTTCATCGAGACATTGTTACGCTATCAAGAATTTTTCCATGTACTTTAACAGTCAAAAGTTGTGACGTATATCATTACTAAAGGAGACTCTGAATGGTTCTCAAGTAACCCATTATTGGAGATCCATAGTTCCATACTAGTCTTCATCTTTTGTCCATTTTGTGTGATTGTTTGCCAGCGAAGTATCTTTATCTGCCAGTGTATGAAGGCTAAGTAGTATTCCCTCTGTATGGACATTTGATTTCAATTTTATAGTAATTTCCATGCACTTCTTTCATATGGTTCTGCACCTTCTAATGAATTTTGTTATGTTTTCATCTTCTGTTGACTCAGGTTTGAAACTGTTGATATGACAACAAGGCTCCTTGTACCAATCATTGTCCTCCAAAATCACAATCGGTACAATATCATGGAGAAAGGCCATAATTACAGTCTAGACATCCAAGCTATTGAAGAGCAGGTCAGTTTTTTATTTTCATTTTTTTCCAGTAACAATTTCTCAGTACCTGTATGCTTGTCAATGATTTGGTTAAGGTTTGCACAATAAAATTTAAAAAATAAAAAATAAAAATTTGGGAGGTAAGGGGATATCATATGCTTGTCAATCCCTGTCTGGAAATTAACAATTACCTCAACTAGCTAGAGGTTGGTTAAGAGACTGTTGGTTGGCAGCCTATATTCGAATGAATTATACCACTTTGCTTATGACTTGGGATAAACACTTTGGTCGAACATCGCCTCTAATTTTTATTCATTGTTCAGATTTGTTTTTTTTTTATTTTTTTATTTTGATGGTAAACGATCAAATTGGATGAACTAATATATGATCAGTGCCTAATTGCATATAAAAGAGAGGTGAATGAATGCATTATTCCATCGCACTACTGGGTTTTTATGATTTTTCTTTTGAGTTTGGAGGGGCTTCTCTGACGATAAGATGTTTTTGATATATAAAAAGATGACCTCAATATAGATATTGTTTGCACCTCGCTAAACAAAGCAGTTCCTAAAAGGATAATTATCTGAAACCTGCAACCTCCAGCTACATGGGGCCGGCTGATTGTACAACCTTAGTGCTTTTAAAGATTTTAATCCATACCTTCATGATGGGGATACCTTGAGCTCCTTGAGAAATAAATGAACCAATTTTCTGTACGTCGTTTGGTTCATTCACAAGAAAGAAGGGAAAGAAGTCCTGGGAACAACTCAAACAAAAACCAGGAGAAGCTAAGCACAACACAATCCAGACTTATAAGGGCTCAACCAGGATATAACTCTCCATTCCCACCGAAAGCATGTCTCTTTTGCCCTATCAGGATATGACTACATATGCCCTCTATCAATTCACAACTTTAGCCCTAATAGAAAATTGAATGTCTGTAAGGATCTTGAGGGGCTTTTTGCCCTTCTGTCTCTCGCATATAATTCACCTCTCTTGAATGTTTCAAAGCACGCAGTTAGTAGCAAAGATTTTAACCCAGTGACGCAGCTTATCCCTTGTAGATAATCTATCTTTACAGGCAAGTTGCAAGATAAAGCATGCTTGGGGAATTCTCTAGCAAACCAAAAAGGTTTTGTTAAGATGAAAGCATGCTTAGGGGTTTTCTAGAGCTATATACATTTTAAGATATTTTAGCCCTCCTTTCATGCTTTTGCAATTGTTTGTGGGTGTCAAATTGGTTTGTGGGTGTCAAATTGTGTTTCTCAAGATGGTGCCTATACTTTTGTTCCACTGGGCTGATTTAAGAAGCAGAAAATTATGTTGATAGATCAGTACCAGATTTTAGAATTTCGAAATCCTTTCCAGTTTTTTGAAGTAGAGTTTTCTGTGTATTTCTCAACATGCCATTACTTTTTGTGAAATTGATTTTTGGGAAAAAATTAGGTTCTTCATCTTGTAGAATCTTTGAGGTCGGCGTCTACTCGAGAAATTTTCTGAATGTTATGTTGTTTATTGAAGACAGTGTGATTGATTTGAACCCCAAGGGGTTGGCCTAGTTGGAAAAGACTTGGGCCCTGGTGCCTCATGAAGCATCAGGTCTCAAGATCGATTCCTGCTAGGGGCAAACAATTCCTTGGAGGGGGGTTGTGGGGTGTGAGTACCAACTAGGAAAAAAAAAAAGTGATTGATTCTGAAGCACTACTATGGCTTATGTTGTGCTTCATTTTGTTGGTTTTCAGGTAAAGAAGATGGTTCACCATGAGCAGGAAGTAGTGATTATTGGGGGTTCACATGCATTGCATCGTCATGAGAAGTTGGCCATTGCTGTTTCAAAAGCAATGCGAGGCCATTCACTTCAAGAAACAAAGAAGGATGGACGTTTCCATGTTCATACTAAGACATATTTAGATGGTGCTATTTTGAAGGAGGTGTGTTATTTACTTTTCTTTTTTTGTTCACTTGTTTCCTTGTTATGAAGTTTCCACAATGTGCTTGCCAATCATATATGGGGTGAAAATATGTACGGTGTGGCATAACTTTTCAATCATTACATTAACCTCCTATCATCTGTGTGGATGCAATATCCTTTTTTGTTAGTATGAATGGTTCAAGTGGCTTTTGCGGTTCACTTGGGCATCTAAACTTTTTGGTTAAATGCTACAGGTGTTGCTACTTAGTTGCCTTTATTCTATTTCACTATAATAAAGATGTCTGCTTGCTCTGCTGGTCAAGTGGTTTCCATGTCTCTTTATGAGGCTAATCTTTTATGTCTTTTGCGCTCAAGTCACTGAAGGACAAGTTATATGACAAGTTGTATTCTCTTACTGTTCATTGCAGGAGATGGAACGATCTGCTGATGTGCTTGCTGCAGGTTTACTTGAGGTGTCTGACCCATCACTTTCTAGTAAATTTTTCCTCCGCCAGGTTAGTCTAAATAAGCTACATGTATACATTATCATTATCGTTATGTAGGATGTCATGGAGAGAATAATGCGGCCTTTATTCTGTGTGAGAATTTGTTAAAAATAATTTATTTATATGGAAACCTATAATACTTCTTTGTGCATGTTTTTTATGTTCTCTTGATTTCTGCATATTGCCCTCAAAAGTATCTTGTGTTTCCCAGAATTGGATGGATGAATCTGATGGTTCAAGCGATTCAATTCTAAAGCATAAACCTCTTTGGGCTACTTATGGCCCTAAGCATGGCAAAGGGAAGAAAAAGAGAATAGAAAGGAAACAAGGAGATATATACCGGACTTATGGAACAAGAGTTATTCCAGTGTGAGCTTACCATCCTTTGCTGCTAACTTTTATGCACGAGTTAAATGATATTATACTTGAATTTCATCTTACAAGTTACAGTGCAATATTGCCCCCTAGTAACTAAAAAGTTTGGTACTCATAAACACTTTATTTTGTACTCTATTATGTAGTAGAAAATAAAAGTTTTTCATAGTATTTGGTAAGGTAGTTATTCATAATATTATTTTAATTTTTGAAAAAACTGTAACGAGCTTGCACGAGTATAGGATTAGTGATCTTCAAATATCATTTATACATATGTACATAAACACTGTATTGAAGGCCAAGGAATTTTGTCTTCCTACCATCTCTTAGGACCCACCACCATAGTCAGCAGTATTGTCCTCTTTGGGTTTTAAAACGCATTGTTTTTCTATGGATGCATTGCGAATGTACTTTGTTCGTTTTGGTGAGTGTGATTTGTTGGATGGCAATAGTGATTAAGGTCAATGAAGGACTGGGAAACTTTATATTAGTTTCTTACGCTTCTGTTGGTGTGCTCCAATTCTTTTTCCATTGTTGCCCAGTCTTCAATTATAGAGCATCGTTGCTGTAAATTTTATAGTGTCTGAGCAATTCTGAGATGAGTGTTGAAATGCAATTAAATTTTATTTTTTCCAGATTTGTGCTATCATTAGCCGATGTGGATGCACATCTTATGATGGAAGATGAAAGTCTTGTATGGACGCGCAACGATGTTGTGCTTGTACTTGAGCATCAAAGTGAAAAGATACCTTTGAGGTGCGTGGACATGGAATTATTTACAGCTTCTCAATGATAAGTCTTTGAAGCACCTTCAATTTACGTTATACCAATCCTCTTCACTATCTCTTTCCATATTATAATTATTGCTAACTTTAGTTTCTATCAAAGTCATTCATTTCTCATGCTTTCCATTCTTTGTTTTACAATTTAATAATTTATTTATTTCAACATTTTTAAATAACCATGTTCATTTCTGAAGTTTCTTGGCTGTCCAATAGATGGACCATGAAGCACAGCTGACCCAAAGCTTGGATCATTTCTCAATTTGTGTCATTCTCATTTCTATTTTCAATTTTACTGTTAACACATAAGAGCATATGCCTCTTCTTATTTGCTTATATCTTCTCTTTGTTTTACTTACTGTATAGCAACAACAAAAAAAAAAGGGTGTGCCTTCTTTGTTTTATAAAGAGGAGTATTTTGTGTTGGCGTATAAAGGAATGTTCTGTACAAAGAAAAGTGTTCTTTTTTGTTATCACTTTGCCTTTTAACTACAGCTTATTTTTACTATTGCTGTGTAAACAGTAACACTTGAGTCATTATTGTAACTGGTGCAATAAGTTGTAATATGACACAAATTTGGAATGTATGGCACTCTTTTCTCAATCAAAACTAAAACAAGCTAGTCCCATCACCATGCAACAATCCCCAAGGCCTGTTATAGTGGTCTCTGATTAGGCTGGTGTGCATCAATTCTTTTATATAAAAAGATGGAGTTAAAGGGTTTTTTTTTTTCATTCTTCAGTGTAGAATTGCTGTGTTTCTTCTAGTGAATATCTTGCTCCTGTGTGTTTGTTGGACAGTTATGTCTCAGAAATTGAGAGAAGATATGCTTTTCCATCACAAGCGCAGCGTCATATACTGGCTGGGCTGGCTTCTGTTGTGGGTGGGTTGAGTGCGCCATATGAGAAGGCTTCTCATGTACATGAAAGGCCTGTTGTAAATTGGCTTTGGGCAACTGGTTGTCATCCATTTGGACCATTCTCTAATACTTCCCAAATCAGTGAAATGCTTCAAGATGTTGCTTTGGTAAAGACTAATCTCATTCTCCCCTAAATTTTGCATGAAATTTAAAATGAGGTTAAAAGTTATTATGTGCCACATCACTTAAAGGGTACTTGCTACATAAGGAGTTCTTTTACTCTTTTGTTACTCTTCTGGTAGCATGTTTTTATATTTCACAAGAAGTAGATTCTCATTGTTTACTGTTATTTGCAGAGGAACACAATATATGCACGTGTAGATTCTGCCCTTCACCGAATTCGGGATACATCAGAGGTGACTTTAATATTGATTGGCTATCTTTTAGTTGTGTTTAGAAGCTTCTGAAGTCTTTATCTTTATTTGTACAGACGGTCCAAGCTTTTGCTGGAGAATATCTGAAAACCCCTCTTGGTGAACCAGTCAAAGGCAAAAAGAACAAGTCAAGCACTGAGCTATGGTTGGAGAAGTTCTATAAAAAGACAACGAACTTACCAGAACCTTTCCCGCATGAATTAGTTGAACGGCTAGAGAAATACTTGGATGTAAGTCATTTCTAATCCAAGTCGCTTCTTTGAGCTGTATAAATATCTTGGCAATTGACATACCGTTCCTTTATGTGATTTGGTATATCAGAGCCTCGAGGAACAGCTTGTAGATTTGTCTTCCCTGTTGTATGACCATCAGTTACAAGATGCACATTTGAACAGTTCAGAAATTCTGCAGAGCACCATCTTTACCCAACAGTAAGTTGTCCTGGAATATATTCTCCTATCAATTGGGTGAAGAAGGTTATTAGTAATTTTGCCATTTTAACCGTGTGTGTGTGTGTGTGTGTGTGTGTGTGTGTGTGTGTGTGTGTTGTTGTACACAGGTACGTAGAACATGTTCTGGCTAGCGAGAGGGAGAAAATGAGATGCTGCAATATTGAATACAGATTACCTGTGCAGTCTTCTCAAAATTACATATATGCAGGAATTCTAGTGGCAGGATTCTTTGTATATTTTGTTGTAATTTTCTTTTCATCTCCTGTGCGTTGAATGATAGTATATGGTAATTAACACCCAGAAAATTGGTTCAAAGGCATAATTGTTGTTATGTTGAGCGAATGCAGTTATTGTCATATATAATTTTGAGAGAGGAAACTGATTTCGTTTTCATGAAATGGTTGATAGTGCATGGGTGTTAACAAGCGATGTTTATTTCTTTTCTTCTGGAATCTCAAAATTTGGAGATAATTATTTTAACTTTGTTCTTTATGGTATGTTTGGTTGGAGGGAAGGATTGGGAATGGATGAATGAGAGGGATAAAATAATTCATTCTGAGTTTGGTTGGATAAACCATCCTCCTCCATTTGTATTTTCTTATGGGATGAATTGGTATAGGTGAAGAGCTATATGTAAAGTTCTTCTCAACGTGTTTTTTTAAAGCCGTCAATCTATCAGAAATTTGCCATATCTAGTGTCCTTTCATAGTTGATTCTCAAAATAGATTGAAATTTCTCTGGATTTGGAAAAGCTGCTAATTGATCCGCCGCTAGAGTATGATGCTTCACCCAGGTCAAGGAATCCACTCACCCATAGGATGCTTCACCCAGGTCATGGAATCCAGTCTTTTAGTGGGGGTTGTTATAAAAGTGTTGTTTAATAAAATTGAAAATTAAGTAATGAAAATTTTAAAGCTGAATTTATGAATTTTTTAAAGCTTAAGAGATGATTCAGTTTGGACAGGATTGACAGTTTTCTGGATCCAATCCATTTATAACGGTTTCACAAGCTTAAGAGCTGATTCAGTTTGGACCAGATTGAAAGTTTTTTGGAATCAATCCATTTATAACGGTTCACTATTTTTAAAATCAGGTCAAATGATAATGACAATGGAATCAAACCAAACTGTAAAAACCGAATCAAACCAAACTGTAAAAACCGGTTTGGTTCGGTTTAATTTGTCAATTTCAATAGATTTCCTTTTTATTTTATTTTTAGAAACAAAATTTCTTGTTTTTTTAAAAAGAAAAAAGGAAGAAAAATTAAAATATATTTGAAAGGAAAGAAAATTGAGATATAATTTAAAAAGAAAATTTTGTTTTGTTTTTTTTTTTAAAGAAATTTAAAGAACAGACAGGGTTATACATATATATATATATATATATAATATAACATAGTAATAGTTGAATCCGAGCTGGTCTAACAGGACCATAAATGAAGACCGGACAAAAAATTTACAGTTCCATAATATTGGAACCCTAAAGAGTCCGTGTCTTGCCCCTCCATAGCAATAGCAAATTTTAGGATCAGATTTTAGTCTTCAGTCTCATTTATTCATATTGTAAAATTATAATTTGTTTCTAGATAAGATTTGCAATTCTCTTTTTTATCATACCATTCAATAATTAATCACAGTAAGTGAACCATTTTGCTTTTCCTATTTCATTGAGGTCCAAGCAATGTTACAGTCGGTGTTTCCATTCCAATTCCTCTTAGAATTTTATCTATCCAGAAAAATTATTCCATCCAGAAAAATTGTTACGAGCTTTTTCTGGCAGGAAAAATAAAAAATAAAAAGTAAGGAATTCACAAAGTTGAAAGGGGGAATTAATTGAGGATCAGAAATAGCTTTCTAGGCTGCATTGTCCATCATTTAACAATTGAATGCACAATTGTTCAGAGCCCAGTGCATATTCATCATCTACCCTCGACAAATATAAAAAATTGAAATAAATTAAATTAAAGAAACAACATAAACAAGTTAATCACCAAAAGAATAAAAATTTTGTTTTACTTCAAGGGGTCCTCAGAAAAAAAATGCTTGCAATTATCATCAAATTAGACAATCAGGTCTCAAAGATTCATGCATCACAGGAGCCCCAATCTTGAACTCAAGAAAAATTACTAGAATTTTTCAAAAAAAAATTTATCTAACAGAATTAATTTTATAAAAATGAGATGATTGAAAACTTGTAAAATTATAAAACCTAAAATCTGGCAAAATAACAAAAACTGGAAAAGATTTGGCAGGAAATTATTCACTACAGCCGGCGAAAATTGTAGGTGCAATGACTCAACTCTCCTGCGATTAATCTGTGCCTCTAATGCGTGTATATACACACAGAGAGAAACCTCCATCTGAATCATTGAAGGGTTCCCATCAAAAGGCATCTTCATCATCAATCAAAATACAGGCATATATATGTGTGTGTGTGTGTGTGTGTGTGTGTGTGTGTGTGTGTGCGCGCGCGCGCGCGCTCGCCCGCGTGTGGGTAGTACATATATATGTATAGAGAGAGAGACTCTTGTACAAGAAATCAATATAGGTAAAGAGGAACAGTTGACGAATGAGATATCTCGTTGGAAGGAAAAGAGTACAAACGATGAAGGCCGATTGCAGCTCCTCTACTTTAAATACTTGAAGATTAGGAATTAGGGTTTGCAAAAGGGTCGGTGAGGACCGGTTAATTACTAAAAACGCCTTCATTGTTCTATCTTATAATTCCTATCGCAAGAAGGAATCGGACGACAGGCCCAATATTAGAGGATTGGGTTCTGACTTCTCTTCAACCTTCATGGACCTACTTGAGTCCAATCCATACCGAATCTAGACCCAACCCAACTACAGTAAGGCCTTAACGACCCAAGACTTATTGGACAAGTGTCTTTTAGTAACAGTGTTTAATAATGGATCATTGCCCTTAATTGTTATATCATTCTCATCCTTTAATTCCAAATGAATTAAGTCACAAAATTATTTATTATTATTATTATAATTTTTTTTCCATTCTATTGTACTTGTTAAGTAAACCTTTAAATTCAGTCTTCTGAATCTAATTTTTTTTTTTTTTAATAAAAAAAAAAAACAATTTAAAATTTTCAATAGTGAAACACAAATTCTATGCCAACAAGCATAATATCAATTAGGAGTTCCTACTTTTCTTCACTTTTCCACAAAAACATGTTTGGATCAATTTTCTGATTACGTGATGGAAGATGATATACTTGATGTGACAATCATACTAATTTTCTGATTACGTGATGGAAAATGATATACTTGAATTGACAATCATACATGTTTGGGAAGCAGACGAAAAATTTGTTGGACTTTTTTTATTGACATTACCTAGCAGTACTCTTATAACAATTTATGACTTGTATTATGGTGCATGTTTTGGGATTTGGGAAAGAGAGGTCGCGGATAAGTCGGTGCCTAGCGAAAATGGAAGCTGACAAAAAGCAGATTCCATTTTATTCGAGCATTATTTATAAACAGTATTTTTACTATTTGATAAATTGTCATGACCAATTAAAAAATTTCAATGAGTCATGTTTCAAAGTCTATGAAAGAATTGTGAAAATTTAGAAGTCTTGAATAGATCGAAATTCAGTGTTTACATTAAAAGCTCCAACGGATATAATTCTGGGTGCCGAACAGTCCAACCTCGACCCTTTGATTCAATAATTGAGCCAAATGTTGATTAAGCCGCTTATAGTTGATTACCATACGTTTTTTCTTTCAGCTGTAAAGATAAGTAGGTGGCTAATTATCTCCCGAATCAGTTTATTTGGATCTATGTTTGCTTATATATATTCAAAACTCAAGATTTTGGAAACACTTATTGGAGGTTAGAGAGGTGATGACTGCAAATCTTCAATATAAAATTGTTAATGATCAGTCAGTCAGTCAGTCAGTCAACAATATTATTCTTAGACCCTTGGTGGGATGGTGAGTCCTAGATTAGTCATTTGGCCATAGACTTTGTACAATATTTGATCTCCCTGGCCCTTCATAGTTCAGATATATGATCTCCCTAAAGATGCTAATTGATACATGGGGTTGCCAAATTTAAAACTTTTTGGCATGCTTGCAGGCAAAGGCTTGTCACACAAAAAATAAATAAATAAGAAAATAATAATAATAAAAGACAGGATTGGTCTGGAATAAAAGAAGGGCAGCTGCAAGTTTTACCTGTAGCTTGATTATACAGAATAAACTCTCCTCAGTGTGTTTATGCTCAGATTCAGAGCTTTGATCAGCTCTTAGCATGGTTTTATCTCTCAGATTAGCAGCAATAAGTATATGAGAAGCAAAAGTGTGTTTACAATTGAAGTGTGTGCGTGTCATGAGAAAAGAGTATCACAAATTATTTGAGATTCAAAATCCAAAGTCGATTGTAAACATCACAGGAGATTTCTGTAATTGACAGACTAAGTATAAAACAGAACTACCACAATAATTGTGACCCATCGTCCACACTCGTCACCGCTTTATCACAACAAAATTTCAACACAATTTGCTTTAATTTTCCAAAAAAAAAAAACAATAAATAAATAAATAAACAACAAAATTTCAACACGTACAGACTCAATAGACCCATGATGTCACCACATACGTCCACAATATTAGCCAAATCTCCAGTTTGGTACCTCCTTCCCATACTCATGTTACTACCAACAAACCTCTGGAAGTGGTGGCGGTGGACCCAACGCCACCACAAGTCCAACTACATATTTAATAAGTCCACACCTATACACATGTGCCCTATTAGCTCGTGTTCTCGATCTGACTTTATTAGTTGACGTGCACAAACAGCCAGCTGTGTGTATATACACACTAGTGATATAACACCACAATCACATAGCTGTTTTCTTTCCTCTAACAACCAGAAGTAAAATGTGTCCCACCGGAAGTGCCCTACGACATCCTCAGACCACCAAGATGTCAGATTTCCGTCCGGCATTTGAGGTGCTTGATGCCGACCGTGACGGGAAGATCAGCCGGGACGATCTTCAAACGTTTTACGCCGGTTTTTCTGGCACCACGGCGTCGTCGTCGGAGGACATTATTGGATCAATGATCTCCGTTGCAGATTTGAACAAAGACGGTTATGTAGAGTACGATGAGTTTGAGAGAGTATTGAATGGCAGGAAGAGGAGAGAGAGAAGTGGAGGGCGAGGTGTGATGGAAGATGTGTTCAAGATTATGGACAAAGATGGGGATGGGAAGGTCGGCCAAGATGACCTCAAGAGTTACTTCAGCTGGGCTGGTTTTGATGCCACTGATGACGATATCAAGGCTATGATCAGATTGGGCGGTGGTGATGAAGAGGGAGGCGTCACTTATGATGGTTTCCTCAAGATTTTAGGCCTTTAATGATAGATGGTAATTTTTTTTATTTTTTTCTTTTTGTTGGGAGGGGTGTGGTTTCAACAACACCAATGTCTATGGTATGAAACATTGATCATTAAATAAATTTGTGTATTTTCAGATGATAACGGAATCTTAGATCGTCATATAATTTTATTCCTAGATGCACTTTTTTTCCTCTTCATTTTGATTTTTAATGCACTTCCATCTCAAGATTATAATATTAGAGTTTATTTTTACTCTGTTGGTCGGTTTTACTTTGAATGCCTTGTGGTGATATTCTGACTGTTTTGATGCCCTGTCGGTGAGATTATGATTGCATATAGATTAGTACGGAGTATTTAGCACGTGTTGATTACTATTACAAGTCATGGTCGATTCATACAGTAGGGACGTCGTTCTGAAGGCGCAAGCTCAATCTTAAAGCTCAAATTATCATTTCCTTGCCTCAATCTTCTGAAGAAAAATTAAAAAAAAAATAAATAAATAGCTTCCTTACCTTTTCTAGGTTCGGATGGAATACTGACTATAAGGATGACAATTTCTCTTAATCCGTCGGATTTCTGCCTCGTCCCACTCCTAATGGAGCAGATTTGGTAGCCCTCCAAATAGGTTTATTTCTGCCTCGTCCCACTCCTAATGGAGCAGATTTGGTAGCCCTCCAAATAGGTTTAGAATGGGTACGATGAATTTAGTAATGAACCCATGACCCCACCCCGACCCCGACCCGATTATATATGTACCATTAAAATATATATATATATATATATATATATATAATATATTTAATATTTTTAAAACCGTTGTTATTTGGATAAAAGTGTCTATTAATATATTAATATTTATTACTTAGTAATTTAAAAGGTGGGTCAGCTTATTTATCAGTCAATTTATTACTTAGTAATTTAAAAGGTGGGTCAGCTTATTTATCAGTCAATTTGAGCACATTAGACTAGTTTTGTTTTACTAAATTCTCAGAATGGCATAACCCACCCCGCCCCTCAATTAAATGAAGTGCGTGAGACGGTGTTGGTACTTTGTATGTCGGAGCAGGGGCGAAAATGGTATACCAATTACAAACCTGTCACAAAATAGAGGAAGAGTTGGTATGACGAATTTTCTAACGAGGCGGAATAGGATTTAGCCAAATTCGCCCCGTTGCCATCCCTAACCGATTATGATCTATAGAATATGGATTTCTTTTAATTGAAAAGAACATCATTCATACTCTTCGCAATAATTGCATCCTACATTTACTTCCATAATTTCTACTTTCTCTATAAATCATCTTTTGTTTAAATAAATATTATATCAAATTCATTTACCTAACAACCTATTATTGTATGAATGCATGCATCCTATTATGAAGGATATAAAACATATATTATGCTGTATATCATAAAAATATGGTTTCACAATACATATCTGACCAGATGGTACCTGTAAAATGATGGAGAACCTTGCATTCTACAAGATGATGTCCTGTCACGGTGTCACCATTATTGGATAATCTCATTCTCCAGTAGCACCGAGGACCAAAGCTTCATGTTCCTTGACAATCACAGCAAACAAGATCTTACCAAAGAAGTATATGCACAAACACATGAGGAAAGCACAGGGATCTGCAGCAAGTTTTAAGACACCATACAGAATGAAAGACGGTGATGTTTCTTGCAAAAAAAATATCCAATTCCGCTTGCAGCATAGAACCATCCTATAACTAATTATGTTGTTAACTTGTCGCTTTCGAAATTTATAAGAAACATGTGAATAATAGAGCAGCAGCATGTCACTGATAATGTCAGCAGGAGAAGCGAGTAACAAAGTTTGCATGAAAATATTGAATCCAAAAGCTTAGTCCACACTGATTTAGGATGAAATCCATGGGAACAGAGAAATTTAGATTCAATGCATGATACTCCAGAATCCGAAATAATCAATGCCAGATACTCCAGAATCCGAAATAATCAACAACGGAAATTCTCCATAATTTGAAATAAATTACCAATTGTAAGTGCAGCATTGAACCTTCCTGTAAGTAATTAAGTTGATTACTCGATGCTGTTGAATTTATAAGAAACATGTGAATAATGGAGTAGCAGCGTGTCACTAATAACAACAGGAGGAGCAAGACTAACAATGTTTAAAGGACAACATTGAATCCAAATGCTTAATCCACACACTGATTTAGAATGAAATCCCGCTGGGAACAGAGAAATTTAGAAGGTAAAGCATGATACTCCAGAATTCGAAGTAAGTTTCTAAAAAATATACTCGGGAAACCATATTCACTACTGACATAATATAGATATTTGGAGATGCGATCACAACTGGCAAACAAATAATAGTTCTTAACAAATACAAATTACCAAACCTCAATCTATGGTATCAACCATACAATCATCAGCTTTGAGTAAAAATACATAAAAGAATAAATTGCCTGTCACCAAGCAGGAAAATTCCTAAAAATCTCCTGCTTCACTGGATAACTTAAGTGCCCAGCAGCAGTTCTATACAGATTGAGAAAAACAATGTATCAATCACCACAAATAAAGTGATTATCCACATACTATAACCCAATTTTACACATTCTCAATTTGTTATCTAGCTGTATGTTCAACTGACATATATTTTAAACTTTTTGAGTATATAATTTAAAATTAACGTTTTAAGCCTCTAGGATGGTAATTCAGGAACTATAAAATAGCATATTTAAACTTCAAACTGTATGCACTGTCTAAAAAGTTGCTCCAAAAATTAAATCACCAGAAGGCAGGAGCTTCAACAAATATTGGACATACACACAATGCCACGGTGCAGATGGCTTCAAGTGAGACTTGTAATGACCAAGCAATTATAAATTTATAAGAGAACTATGAGTTTAAATGCTGCTCTAAATCTTCAGTACATCTGTAATAAAAAAAATTTCAATCACAAACTGTTAAAGAGGATAAAGCTTCAACTATACAATCCTTTCTCAAGATTCCTTCAAATGGAAATAGACAATGAAGTACCTAGAAATATTTTTACTCGTGAAAACAAAGAGGATGAAGAATGCAGTCTTAATCACTTGGCAAACTTTTGTTCCTCTAGATAGCTTATTCCAGAGTACTATCTTTGCATGTAGAACATGTGTTTATCATCTGCATCTAGGAGTTAACTACTTAACAACACGTGAATATGCTAACCTAATATCTGAACATCTATCTAATGGCATGACAAATTGCCTTAAGACTACATCATGCTTAGAGTTGCTTTTAAAAGATTCTATCCGTTTTAGTTAAGAAGGGCCAACTTCTGCTGCAAATGTAAAAGTACTTCTGCTGCAAATGTAAAAGCTTGAAGGTTCTAATTGTATAAAATCATGTCAAAGGTTAGTTCAGTATACCGCTCACAACGCCCCGAATAGGTGGGACGACACTAGTAGTGGTATTTTACTTATGAGCATTTTAGCATTCATTGAAGCGAATTTGTAGCATCCTTTGTACTATAATTGGGTAAGGACTCTAATCAAGAAATGGCTCCATTCTAGAGGATGGAGCTTTACCTTGAAATTAAGAAAAATGGTCATTCAATTGCATAGGAAGTCCGGCCACAACACCCAAATTTATCCGGTAACTCAAAACACTGCACAGATTAATGCCACTTTTCGTAAATTTTTCGGCAGTTTATTCCAAAGACATAAACAATCGTGAAGTAGCACCATGACCACAAATCATTATTGTCAGATCACCACTATAACCTTATTGTTGATTATATGAGGAAGGAGATTGGGTTGGGGGGCAAAGAGTAAGGTTATAGATACAACCCGAAAGAGTCAGCAGCATACACCTTTGGTGGGTTGGGGGTCTTCCACTAAATTACTCCATTCCTTCCTTTCTAAGGATTTACAATGTCTATAATTTATAGAGATGACTTCCCAAACTAAAGCCTATTCAAATTAACTAGAGAAGGAATCTACTTAACCAAATTAGAGCTATTAAAATTCATACTTACCAATTTAAAAACCAATATATAATGGAAAAAGGAAACTACTAACTGTAGTTCGTATTAATTTTTGCTGTCATAATAATGGTTCCTTAAATTCACTAAGAACATGCATTCATGTGATACACAAAGAACATACATTTAAACACAAAGAAGTAAAACATTTTTCAGAAAAAGCTTCACAGTTAAACAAAATCAATGGTATATCGAGGTGACAACGAAATCCTACTAATTCTTATTTTGTCTAGAATAAGTAATATTTTAGCTGCTCTCCTAGGGTGTTGAACAATTATATTGATGAGAAATTGACTAATTGAATGCAGATCATAGGTGCTGACAATATGCATGCAATTTGAGAGAGAGAGAGAGAGAGAGAGAGAGAGAGAGAGAGAGGGTGTCTACAATACCTCAATCTCTTACAAACAGAAGTCTTCAAAAACCGCATAAATTCTCTTGACCATTCATAACTAGTTCGGTGTTACACACACCACAGATATATACATACAAATATGAGAAGACTAGGGTTGGGAATTTGGTGATATCATCAATCAGATTTGTGTTGTTGAACCAGAGCAGCCTGAAATTGAAACATACAAGGAACGCCCTTTTTGTTGCTCAAGAACTCAGCATCAATAGTCCCAATCAATGAACTGCAGTCATCCATAGCTGGTAACTCTCACCCCTCACCTCAACTGCAATTTATCTTATCACAAATCCTCTAAAGCGATAACTTTGTCGTTGTTCCATTGAAATCAAGAGGGAAAATAAAAGCAAAAAACTAGGGCCGAGAGAGAGAGTTTGCAAAGTAGTCATATCACGAGTTTGTGCGTGAATACACCATCAAATCGCCTGCATAGAGATTCGTACTGAAGAAAGAATGGACAGCTCTGATGATGAGGTTAGACTAATGCACAAACTAGAGATATGTCTCGTCACTTTGTTAAACAATATAGAGTGTCTGTATTTTGAAGTAGGACAATACTTTTTATAGAGCAAAGTTTAAATAGAGAGAGAGACAGAGCATCGACAACACAGACCTGAAATTTTGACTATGTATCAAGAAAGTGAGAAAATATTAATTTATAATGAATTAACTGATGACTGAGCTGTACAATAATTACGTTACTCCTCCCTTTTGAATACAAAGTAAAGATTTTGTGAAGCCCTACTTCTGA